CCGCGGCCTGCGACGCCGCGATGCCGCGGGGTCGCCCTGCACCGCGCCGCTCCACCTACTGATGGTCGACGGAGATAGCGGATCTCCGTCGAGTCGTCGTGGCGGCGACGCGCGGCGGACGAGGAGGCGGTGGCCCGGACGTACGATGCTCTACGGGAGGCCCGCGGAGCGCTGCGCCTGGCCATCCGCGAAGCCAAGAGCCGGGCGTGGGGCGCCTTCCTGGACACCTTGAAGGAGAACCCCTGGAGGCGTCCATATAAGCTGGTCTTGAGCAGACTGCGACCGTGGACGCTCCCAGTGGCGGAGTGTATGGACCCGCGACTTCTCGTCGAAGTCATGGGTACTTTGTTCCCCGAAGAATGGGATGCCGGGATTCCGCCGCACGCGGGCCGTCCCTCGGATTGGAGGGACGAGCTCGCGGTAACCGGCGAAGTGGTGTTCAGGGCGATTCGTCGCTTGAGGGGACGCCCAAGGGCACCGGGGCCCGACGGCGTCCCTGGACGCGCCTGGCTCTTGACTTCCGAGGTACTGTGGCGGAGGCTGAGGAAACTCTTCAGCCTCTGCCTCAGCGAAGGACACTTCCCCCGTGCGTGGAAGACGGCGCACCTGGTCCTTCTCAGGAAGGAGGGGCGCCCCGCGGAGGAGCCGTCGGCCTACAGGCCGATCTGCTTGCTGGACGACGTCGCGAAGCTGCTCGAGCGAGTAATGGCGGAGCAAGTCGTCCGGCACCTGTGCCTGACTGGCCCGGACATCTCGCCGGGCCAGTATGGCTTCCGTCAGAGCCGTTCCACCAACGATGCTATTCGTCAGGTGCGGGCCCTGACGGGAGCCATCGTGGGGGCCGGGGGGGGTGGCGTTGGCGGTGTCTCTGGACATCGTCAACGCATTTTACACCCTCCCGTGGCCCAAAGTGTTGGAGGCACTCCGACGACACGGAGTGCTGAAATACTTATCGGCAATCATTGCCGATTATTTCAGGGACAGGGCACTGGAATTCCGCTGCAAAGGGGGATTCTGGTGCAGCAGAGAGGTGCGATGCGGTATTCCACAGGGGTCCATACTGGGTCCCCTCCTGTGGAACATCGCATACGACGTGGTCCTCGGCGCGGCGCTTCCCCCGGCTGCCACGTGATGTGTTACGCCGACGACACCCTTGTGGTGGCCGGGGGCCGGGACTGGGACTCGGTGGTGTCGAGCGCGAGTCTCGCGGTGGAGTGCGTGCTGCGCTCCATTGAGAGACTGGGGCTAAAAGTGTCCCCCCGCAAGACAGAGGCGCTGTTCTTCCACAACGTGGGGGGGGGGGGGGTCGGCCTCGGTCAGGATAGGTTCGGCCTGCATCGAGGCTGAAATATCTGGGCCTCACCCTCGACGGACACTGGGAGTTCGGCGGTCACTTCGACCTGCTGGCTCCCAGGCTGTCCAAGCAGGCCGACGCGTTGGCCGGTCTGATGCTGAACCTCAGCGGACGAGGGGATCGACCCACCGCGCCTATGCGTACATCGTCCTCGCTGGACTCCTATATGGAGCCCCCGTTTGGTCGGAGGATGCGGCGACCAACAGCCGCATCAAGATGACGGTGTGCCAGGTACAGCGAAGGCTGTCCCAGCGCATCGTCCGCGCGTACAGGACGGTGTCGCATGACGCGACGACGGTGTTGGCGGACGTGCCGTCCGCGGACATCCTCGCGAGAGGACGGGCCGAGGTGTACCGATGGGTCGCCGTGGCCCGTCTAGAGGGGCGTGTATTAGCGCACCGTGAGATCGAGGCCTACAAAACGATGGCACAAAAATGGGTGTTCGCGGAGTGGCGCGCCCGCTTGGAAAAAGCAGAACACGGGGCCTGGACCGTTGGGGCCGTCAGGCCGTGCCTCGAGGAGTGGGCTGGTAGAAGGTGGGGCGGACTCACCTACCAGCTCACGCAGGTGCTCACCGGACACGGATGTTTCGGTGAGTACCTGCACCGTATATTGAAGGAGCGCAGCCCACACTGCCACCATTGTGACGCGGACGTGAACACCGCGCGGCATACCCTTGTGGAGTGGGATGTGGAGCGCGGTATCCTCGTCCAACAGATAGGAGGAGATCTCTCTCTGCCGGCACTCGTTCGCGAGATGTTGCGGAGAGAGGCCTCCTGGAAGG